TATTATAGCATATATGTGTACAAAAATTGTTTATTTCTATGGAGTGTATTTATGTGGCCTTTGACAGAAGTGGCAAGTTTCTTTTGCTGTCCAGTGTATTATTCAACACATACAGGGCATGCACATAGAGCAATTATTGTTACCATGATTGGCTGGGCCAATAGCCAAGTTCAAGTGCAACTCTTGTTCTACCTTTACAGACATTTCTTAAATTTTGTGGGCAAAACACATCAAGGGGCAGCATGTTGGAACATTAGCCAGAGGTTAATCCAGGTACTTGAAATGTGAACCTGTCGCCAGCCATGCCTGTACATCCAGACAGCTACATCATGTTCACACATCCTTCGGTGTAAAGTGGTTCACTTGCTGAACTGATTGGAATTCTGCAGGTTTAAGAGACTTTCAGATAGGGCAAAAGTTCAGTCAATTCTTTGAGCTTCTCTGCTTTTGTATTGTAAGCATGACCGAACTTCTACACGTGGGGAAGAATGTTACCTCTAAAGGGAAGGGGAATTACAAGCATAGCCCCACCCCCAAGAGTTTAATTCACCAGAGTAGAGTCATAAATGCGGAATGATGCAAATTGTTGCATATAATTTTCACATTTATTGTACCAGGAAGGAATTACTAAGACAGTGCTGCAGTCTGCATTATGAAGCACACAGTTCATCTAAAGCTACAAGACTTGTGCGTTCTTTACAAGGTTCCAAGATTATTTGACAAAAGCCCCTATTCAGGATTTCCAAGATTGGCCTATGTATTACAGCACCACAAAGTGTCAGGCCAGTCCCATCTACCTCAAGCAGGGACTCTTTATATTCTGAGATATAGCCTTCCTCTACCCCCCATCCCCCTACCTATTGCATGTAGCATGTAATTAAGCAGTCTGCTGATGAAGTCAGTCCTTGCTACATTTGCATAATATTGTTACAGCACTGCCAGGTTCCTGTTGGACTTTTCTTCTGTGCTTTTGCGGAAACTTACCATGATTTCCTGTTAATCTTTAGGGTAAGTTCTCCAAGCATGGTTGGCAGTGTACATGTAGTGCACAGTATTGCTGTCTGAAAAGTATGTCTGCATGCTGATAATAATCAGCAACTTGCTGTTTTAGTGGTTGCATTATGGAACTTCAAATTTCCTTGATGTTTCCACTGCTACCAGAACTTGTGGAACTGGCATGAAATTTGGTCACGTTTCTCACGGATTTGATCATACATGCCATAATTCTCATGACGCAAAAGACAAAACTGCCTTGATGGAAATGTACGTATTGCATAGCAACACACTACCAAAAATAGCAATTTATACACAAACAAAATGTATCTACAAAGGAGTCAGGGAACTATTCTTCACATAAGGCATTTTACAGTGCTTCTGTGTAGGTTTTACAGAGTGGTGGGGTTTCTAAAGGATTCACCCATATCTACCACAGCTCTGCAGAAGTTGTTTGTGACCACTTTTGGTCTGGTAATTTACCACAAACCCGATGTAAAACTGAGACATCCATTTCCTGAGCATTCCGACTGGACTTATTTCAGTCATTTTTCTGCTAAGCTGCAGTATTTTTTGTTAAATTAAAAACGTCCTACACGAATAGGGCTTATTTAGTAAATACCAGTAAGTAATGTCTTTGCGATAAATGTACAACAGGAATTGTCCAATGTGGCTAAACAGTAATTTCTGGCCCAGATGATTCATGTACACTGCCTCTGACAAGATTTTTTTCTTTGGGTCCCTTCATGTCTCTGGTTTTGGCAAGCGATAGACCCCAGCTGAGTATACCAACATTTGCTCCCGTACTTTGCGATCCAAGAACTGACGTAGTTTGTGCTCTGAGAATTCTGAGGCTGAAGGGCCTTGCATGGCAAACATCTTCAGCATGGAATGGATGCGATCCAGACTCAACGACTCCAGGTTGGTCAGCATGCCAACAATGTAGGACCAGAACACCTGACCAGAACACAAACAAAAAGACATGATAGGCTTTACTGAACCTCTTTGAAACTGAGAAGTCACTATGGGCCTCAAGTTGGGCCCAGAGAAGGCACTGTTTCCTTAGCAACGGAGGCTCCTTTGGTACTAACTGTGCATCGCTGGTTCACAACGAACGACTAGGAAACACAAGCGTTGCAGTCGTTTGCTACCAACAAAATGAACACTCCTGACCAATGTGGCTCTTTTCAACCAGTGAGGGGGTGCTTCTACTTGAGGCAGATAAACCAGTCCATACATGATACAAAAGCAAATTTTGCAGGCGTTAAAATGGTTGTGATGTTAATTCACTTTTGGTCTCATATTGGCCTTTCATCAGCACTCTTCACTGGTGACATGTTTAGTCCAGTGCAGGCTAGATGCCATTTTGGACTTTTTGGAAGCAGGTTGTCATCATATCACATTGTCTCCATGTTCATCATTGGTAACATGTATACTTGAATTCATAAAATGAAAGGATCAGCTGACACTGCAAATAATCAGAACATATACATGTTCATGTCAGTCATGTCAAGCATTGCATACTTTGTGACTTGATTAGTTTAATAATTATATGTTGAATAAGCTACTCAAATACTGGTGCATGTACAGTACATGTATTTATTAAAGACTATCATCTGATTCCGCCCACTTTGACAGGTTCTGATGGCCTTTAAATGTGCATCAGTGATGCATTTCCTTGTGTGCTGGGGAGAAGTACAATTGTCATTTGTATATATTTTTTTGTTCACAAAACAGTATTGCGACAACAGTGCCAATAAAGCATCTTGCCTTTGCAGGGCAAACCGTGTATTGCTGTGTACATTGTTGTAGAGAAATGCCACACTGCAGCAGGCCGATATAACTCAGTTACATGCCAATTGGGACGTGCTGAATATCCAAATAGATGATGGATGATCAATAGCAATTTTTTTTCAAAAATAACTATTTAGAGTGAAAAACAATGAAATGAAAAGGAAACAAAAATCAGATATTTTGGTTACAAAACTTCCAGCCTCCTCCCTTTAGTTAGAGGATGGATCCTTTTCCTGATACAATATAGACCCTCTCACAAACGTGCACATTTTGCATTTGCTTCAGAGGGAATTTGATATAACCAAATATTCAAATGAATGGAAGGCTGAATATTCAAATATTCAATTCTTTGAAATGACTTGGCCTTATCACACACCTGAAGTTCCTCCTCTTGCTGGTCTTGCGCTGACGCCATTGCAGATTCTGTTTCTTCATCACTGTCCAACAGAATCATCTCATGTTGCATGGCCCGTCCAGCTCGCTGCTCTTCAATCAACACAAACGTGTCTGTACTCTCCTCTCGTAGCACCCCTTGGCTCTGCCAGAATGCCATCTTGCGACGCAGCGCTGTGACAGACACCTGCATGACGGCGCTCAACTCATCCACGGTCCACTTAGCTGTAAGAGTTAGATTATATTCATGGACCTTATCCCCTTAAGTATCCATACATGGGATCTTCCTAAATCCTACAAATCCTCCACTGCGCCATAAACTAATTACACATTATTCTGCAATAACTTCCAAGCACCACTGATTACGAGGTAAAAATTGCTGAGCACTATCATCCATAATTCTCCAAATCCTCTAAATGCTGTCTGTACATTTAAAAGCCAGTATACCAGTGACCATCAGGAAAATGGATAAAAGCTTTTCCCGGGCCTTGAGAAATATCCCATAAAATTCTCCCAATAAGTCATATATGTGCACATTTTACAACAGAAACAAATTCACCAAAGCATCAGAAAATTTGAAAATAAATCTTATGGAACCCAGTAAAGTTAAATTTACAGAACTCAAAATGATTGTTGGATGCTAGAAGATGAAAAGCAAATATGCTCGTTAAATTCCATGCAAAATGTATTGAGAACCTCATTTTAGGACCTAATCAAGCAGTAAATGCTATGATTGCAACAGATAAGGAATTGGTGAGGCAACACCAACAGGTCAGCAGTTTCCATTCCATATTGACATTAATCCTCAATATATTCTGTGGCACATTTTCAGGCACACGTACATACCTTTATCCTGGAAATGCATGATGATGGTTGCATGTACTGGCGACACCGACAATTTCAGTCGGCGGTCTTTCAGCTCCAATTCCAAATTGACAAGTCCTAGATTGGTTTTCCAATTCAGGGTACGCATGCCTTTCAAGACCTTGAAAAAAAAAAAATTAAATACACAAATTGTCACGTGAATTCTTTGGACAAAGGTGGTATTGTGACCTAGATTCCACTGTGGTCTTAAGCCATGTTTGAGGAGAGTTGTTCTTAGATTTTCTCCTCCCTCTGCAAAATATCAACACTTTGATTTCTGGCTACACTCCATGGTCTGATGTGGGTCACTTAGTGGCTGCTTAACATCCCCATGCCTTTATCTCCCTCCCAGATTTGAGGCCGAGAGTAATAGGATGAAATAGCACCCAACAAACAAACTAGAAACACAAACCCAGGGTTTCACCCAGGGTTCTGATCTGTGTGAGGTGGTCAAATAAATTTGCCAAAATTCTAGTGCCTAGAACAAAAAGCAAGTGTTTTCAAAAAGGCCTAATATAAATTCGGACAGTCGAACAGTACATTTACTCCAAAATTCCCCTCTCAAATAAATTGATCTTGTATTCTGTGTCCCTCTTTACCATTCTGAACAATCTGAATGTGACCCATTTCAAAATATCTAAATTATTTTGTTTTTCCTTCCGTCTTAGTCTGTTTTTAGTGTGAGTTGGTAAAATGCAGCAGAAAAGCCTGAGGTGGTCACTCAAATCAGTGAGGTGGACCGCCTCACACTTGAATAGGCCGGGGAAACCCTGCACAAACACTCTCCAGTCTTTCCAAATCCTAGACTTGGTGGGTTGATAAGATATCTCCAATATTCTATTCACGCTTTGAATATTTTACTGTTCATTGCTTTCATCTGATTGGAAATGAATCTTGCAGAACTGTACGATGGGACCCTGTCATTTGAAATGAGCTTCAGATTCATAACACAAAAGTTTGAGTTAACTTGGAAGCGAACTCACTAGTAATAGGTCAATTTATTTTTTATAAGATGAGACAGCTACCCAGCATTCAATTCAATCTTAGTTTATTTTCTCTAAGTATTAAAATGTTACAATTATTGCAATGATTATTTGAGCACCTAGTCAGTTTCTCAATATGGGCTGTTGTATCGTGTACAGAAAATCTATGGATGGTACATCACTTTGATGTGCAGCCTACGAATTAAAAAGTTGTTCTATTAATGTTAACAATGGACACAATAAAGAACATGGCACAGGCAGTTTGTTCCAAGATGAATTCACCAGTCAATGAAACAAATGGTGTTGAAATGTTTTCATCAAGTCCTCACAAGTCATTCACAGTTATCCAGTTTCATATCATAAGCTTTTTAAATGAATTGTTGCTGCTTTTTCTAGACCACTCTCATATTGCCTACAACTTGTACAGAAGGCCAAAGTTTACAGAAATAACACCTTTTGGTTGGTTTTTGATTTCACCTGCAATTTGTTCAAAATTTGTTCAAAATGGACATAATTCTCCGTGATTTTCACTAGGGTTGTAGTTTCATTTAGTGAGTGCATTATTATCTGTATTCTGAGAGCTGATTTTTAACTCTTTGTGACTTTTATACCGACGGCCCAACATACTATTTACGGCCACTTGTAGGAAAACAACGACTGTGACGTCAAAAGAGCAGACCCTGTACTGTAGAGACAAGTAGGTCCCAGTTCACAAATCGTACTGCCCAGTCATGAGGACATAGACTAGTCATGTTCTCCACTCATCACGAGGACATGGACTTGTCATGTTCTCCACTCACCATGAGGACATAGACTAGTCATGTTCTCGACTCACCATGAGGACATGGACTAGCCATGTTCTCCACTCACCATGAGGACATAGACTAGTCATGTTCTCCACTCATCACGAGGACATGGACATGGACTAGCCATGTTCTCCACTCACCATGAGGACATGGGCTATCCATGTTCTCCACTCACCATGAGGACATGGACTAGCCATGTTCTCCACTCACCATGAAGACATGGACTAGCCATGTTCTCCACTCACCATGAGGGCATGGGCTAGCCATGTTCTCCACTCACCATGAGGACATGGGCTATTCATGTTCTCCACTCATCATGAGGACATGGACTAGCCATGTTCTCCACTCACAATGAAGACATGGACTAGCCATGTTCTCCACTCACATAAATTTGCTAATCTTGAGCACTATTTCTTAGCTGTGTTTGGCGAGGCTGTGCTAAAGGTTGCAAGTGCATAGAGTTTTCTATGGTTACGTCACTAAGTTTAAGCAAAATTTCCTCCAAGGTTAGCATGCCTTTGGCTGTGCTTACAGCTTACAGTCTCCATGAAATATGTGGAGTGCCTGTTAGGGTTAAATCTTGTGCTAAGCAGTGCCATGAAATTGGTCCCAGGTCACTCAGCGACTCTTATGAGAGGAATGTCACATCTACTTTTCTGGCCAATCTATGCTACAACATAACTGATTCCCCTAATGCCTACGACTGGTCTTATCACTTAATTTGTGACTGATTTCCAATCTGAATTCATCTTATCTTGTGATAACAACGCTACCCTCACCCGACAAATGATGCATTTTGACTGCTAGAGCGATCAAAAGAAATCATATAACCGTAGTCTGTGTACCTGGTATGACTTGGTGTAGTCTTCCATGGCTTTCTCTATTTCCTCTGGTATCTTGAGTTTTTCTTCTTTCAGATTTGGCCAAAATTGGGCTGACAGAATCATGGCATTGAAGTCAAAATCCTGGGAAAAAAGAAATACCAACAGCGTCTTAGAAAACATTAGTTTTGACAACATTTCATGTAGCCAACCTGTGCAATAAGTAACCATTTGTTGCTTCAAGCTGTGCATTTTTGTGATCCAACCTAATGAAATGAGTCAAAATTCAACAGAGCAACCTTTGAGTTCAAAGGCCTTCAAAAGAATTTTGCAGCATGTAAATCAGCAGGAACCCTTTTCCATCCAAATATGTCCACACATGTACAGATGAAAGCCGCTACAACAAACACCACCACCAAACATGCAGGTATAGTAAACATCTCCCTTGGTGTCCACCTGCCACTAGACACTGCATGGTACCAACATACTCCTCCCATCTGGGGAGGCTGAGCGAATGAACACCTGACCACTGCTGCTTAATGCCAACATTCTTCAACATTTCTGAACTTGAATGCGATGCAAAAAGACACAAATCAAATATGTTGTCAATCCCAAATGGATTTCTCCTTGTGCATAAATGTATAAAATCACACAGTGAACTGCTTTCTGTCACCACTTTTGGTTACTGATCATCTGTGTAAACAGCACGAAAAGAAAATTAACAATGCCGAAGGACTGAAAGGACTGCTTTTCCTAAAGTCTATTTGAGTTCATAATGGATGTGCTTGAGGTTGGCTGGCACTGAATTGTAATTCTGATATACATGTACATGCAAGGCTAGAGTATAAATGGTGTGATTTCCACACGAAGCTCGAATTCTACCAGGCTAGTTCATATGCATAATTACAAAACTTCATACGTTAGAATGTTCTTACTTTCATGGTGTCTTCAGATAGAACTTCCTCATCTTTCTTGAGTGAGCTGATGTGAGTATTGCAGCGTCGGGAATCAGCTACATCCTTTAGCATGACCTCACAGTGGTGGAGTTGAGACTCACCAAAGCACAGCTTGAGCAACTCTAAATAGCGCAGCTCCCGGGCCGTGTCATAGTTGAACCCTGTCAAGATACGGTCAGCTAGCAGACCTCGATACTCATTGACAAACAGCTCCCGACTGCCATAGATGTTGACCAACATGCTGATTATGTCAGA